TAAAAGAATGGAAAAAGAAATGCTCTGGTATGGGTGTCCCCTTGGGTGATCTCGAAACTCTGTTTACTCTGTGCTTTGCTGATGACCAGGTGGTGGTTGCTCAAGATCAAGATGACGCGGAATACATGATGCGCAAGCTAGTAGAAGAGTATCGGAAGTGGGGTCTGGAAGTCAGCATATCCAAATCTGAGAAGATGACTTTTGGCGGTGATCAGCAAAGCATTGAGTTGGAGGATGGGCAGCAGATCAAAGGCTGCGAGCACTTTAAGTACTTGGGAGTGCGGTTGACCCAGGATGGAAGGACGGATCAAGCTATCAGGGAAAGGAACACCTTAGCAAGGAAGGCTATAGCGATGTTAAATGGAATCCTCTGGGATCAGCGGATTTCCAAAGATAACAAGAGGAGGATATACAACGCTGTAGTCAAAAGTATATTAACAAACGGATGTGAAGTTTGGCAGCTGAAGAAACGGACACAGGATATGCTAAGAGCAACGGAGATGGATTTCTGGAGAAGGTCAGCTGGAATTTCTAGGAGAGATCGGGTCCGTAATGATAGAGTGCGTCAGATAATGGAAGTCGAAAATGACATCGTGTTCGACGTCATGACCAAACAACTTGTTTGGTATGGTCATGTCAATAGGATGACGGAAGAGAGGCTGCCAAAAAAGATGCTTGATTGGGTTCCTCCTGGGAGGAGACGTAGGGGACGCCCAGTGAGAGGTTGGCGACAGGGGGTGTTAAATGAGATAAGAGATTGTCAACTCCCTGATGACCTGTGGGAAGACCGAGCTTTGTGGCGATTAGGCGTCGCACAGCGCCAAAGAGCGCTATAAAAGCGACTCATATATATATAAATTACCAAATGCACGCGCCCTTACTTCCTCTCACCTCCGTTCCTTCCTTTTCTCGGGCAAAAGGGGGGGGGGGAATACGCCCTCCAAGCCCCTTTGGATTCGCCTATGCTTCTACTTAATCTACGTGCAGAGCTTTTCTCAGGGAAGGTCCTTCAAGTACTGTGCGATGATTAGAAAATTCAATCAAATACACAATGAAGAAAAATAAATCATTGGCGATTTTTCTTACGCAGCGTTTAAGTCTCCGTATATATTTCCATTGATTTGTGACCACAGAACGGTTGCCAGGTTGTGCGATAATGTGGATTATAGCATTGGTGATTTTTCTCACGCAGCGTTCAAGTCACCGTATCGATTTTCACAATATTTCATGCAACGACAGTAAGGTTGCCAGCTTGTGCGATGTAATGTGGATATTTCACATAGGCTTCTTACATTCCTGACTGTGGCGAGAGTCGCGGGGAAAGGGAACTCACGGAAGTAAATTTTAGGAAAGGAAATCTCATCATATTGGGTCAGGGAAAATCAGAGTCCGGATATTTCAACAGGAAATTGTATGGTATATCAAGGAATGAATCGAAAGCAGCCTAATTCATTGCCGCGCCAACAGAGGGCGTAAAGTTGCATTTGAATTCTATAATGCTGAGCTGCAAGCATGTCAAATAAAAAATTTAAATAGTTTCATCTCATACGCTGGCTCAGATCAATACTTCTGTACGTTTTTTCATGCCCAAATGTTTGTAAAGTATCTTCCCTAGCAATGACATCTAGGAATATTCCAAGTTTAAGTTCTTTGGCGCTGGACCCCTTTTTACAGATACTCATGAAATTATTAGTAAATTGAATTTTGAATAAAATTTTGCCGCAAGTAAGGTCTCGCCGCGTAGATTCAAGAGATGCATGTGATTATAATTAAAATTAAAATTTCTTTGGCGTTCTCTTGCGACGGAGGCTTTGATGTAAGGCCTTGTCCACACGAGCGCAGTTCGCGGAACTTATTCCTCGAACTGCTCAGTTCCCGGAACTTATTCCTTGAAACGAGGCATGCTGTCCACACGGGTTCGCCCGAACTGGAACCGGAACTTCAATAAAATTATACAATTATTGCAAAATAATAGATTAATATACGGCCACCAAAGTAACGCAAATAAATGTCAAGACGTGTAAAGGACGTAAAAAACAAAAACAAATAAGTTCACATCGAAAGAAACATATATAGAAGCTCGGAGTACGGCGGAAGTTCCGGGTTTTGGAGGAATAAGTTTTTAGCTCAGCTAAAACTTGTTCCGGGAATCCGGGAACAAGTTCCTCGGAATAAGTTCCGCGAACCGCGCTCGTGTGGACAAGGCCTAAAGGGTGGGATCGCGGTTCATTCCTTCAAAATTGGGGGAGGAAGACCTTGTAAAATAAATTTTTGCTTTTTGTTAACGACTTGACGTTATACCAATTTAAAAAGTGTATTTTCAGAAGAGAATACGCTGGAAATGTAAACTTGCATTTTTGCCGAAAATCATGACAAGCAATCCAGTCAACATTAGCTGTAGTCAAGTATAGCTTTCTTTCATCCTTGACTTTTAGGAACTGCACTTTTGTCAATTTTAAAATAATAATCAAGTATACTGGCCTATGATAGCGCACCGCTGCGGAAACTCTGGAAAGCCTTGGAAGCTTTTACAAAATCAACTATTGTAAGCGCGCACCATTCTGCCGTGCTAAGGAAGAACGCTGTATGAAAATTCGAGAGTTGCCAAATTTCCCCGAATAAAACCTTTATTTTTTATCAAAGTTGGGCTTCTTTTTCCTTTAAACTTTCAGATATTTTACATTAAATTGCGTACAAAATTGTGTGAAAATTTTTGAAACAAATAATCCCGATTTTCTAAGTAAATTCGGTTTACACAGGAAATTTGGCAACGTCTGACGGCTCATACGGCGTTTGATGCAGCATTGATGTTGATTAAACAGAAGACAATCATAACCCTCACCAACTTTGATTTGAGTGCCAATGCTCGATAATTCAACTCTTAATAGATGCACGCACCAAAGCAGATGTTTCCAAACTAAATAATGGATGCATCATTATGAAAGCTCACATAACGAGGCCGCCTAGGCGCCTGCTCAGCGTCCGAAAGGTCTACTTCTCATCGGATAATACTCAACATCGACTGATACAGTGAACGGCGATTATACATCACCAGTTAAAGCGATGCATATCTCTCGGTGGATGTAAAAACAAAGGAACGAAGGCTTCAAAGCGTGGCGCGGGCGAAAACGCAAGGCAACGCAAGCGCATGGGCATCGTAAACTAACGTAGCGAAACGGTTAACGTCCGGCGGACGTCCTGCCAAGCGTTAACGAACTTCTTGCTCCCGCACCGGACATCTCCCAGCGATGACCGTGGCTCGTGGCCACCGGACCGTTTTCCCTCGAAACCCGGAATATGCCAAGATGATGGACTCGAAAAAATTCCAACTGCAAGATTCATCTTGAATATGTTACCACAATACTGCCGAGCTAAGGAAGAACGCCGTATGAATCTTCAGGCTTTGCCTAATTTCCTCTGATAAAACTCAAATGTCCTGGTAAATTTGTGAATATTTTCCTCCCAATTTTTCAAACAATTCAGTTCGCAATTTTACCTAAAGATTCTGAAAATATAAAAGATTAAATATTCGTACATTTCCTCAAAAATAAATATTTTATCGAAGGAAATTTGGCAACTCTCGAATGTTCATACGGCGTTCTTCCTTAGCACGGCAGAATGCGTCGTTTCCCCCGCGAAGGAACGGAACTACATTTCAATTTTGCCAAATTTCCCCTAAAAAACGGTAATTTTGACTGTAGAATCTGGGGCGTTTCTGCACTGGAAAAAAAACTCTGACCGTGAAAGCCGCACTTACGGGCTATATAGACATACCGTCCGCGCGCCGGGCTTAGAGGTCAAAAGTTCCGGGCGCACCACCCGGAGCAATCGAAACTACACTGCGCCAGCACCCAGCCAGAACTTTCCGCCTCTCAACCCGGAACGAACGGTATGTCTCTACTGCCGTGCTAAAGAAAAACGCCGTGTGAGCATTCAGGCGTTGCCAACTTTCCTTTGATAAAACACGAAGTTTCCGGTAAACTTGGGAATATTTTCCTTCTAGTTTTTTAGACAATTTTGTTCGCAATTTCAACTGGAGTTCCTGAAATTTCAAGGGAAAATGTCCATAACTTTCCTCAAAAATGAAAATTTTATCGAAGAAAATTTGGCAACTCTCGAATGTTCATATGACGTTCTTCCTTAGCACGGCAGTTTTAACCCGTAACTTTTGTTTTAGTGTGATTGAAAATTTCACTGAATTCATGTATGATCTCATGCAAAAATCGGAAGACTTTTGGAAAAAAAAATTGCTCAGGTACATTAATTTAAAGATTCTTTGAGTCAATTTTGCTACCTTGGAATGGTGTTCCGTTCCTACGTCCGGGGAGGCGTCGAATAGGCCACCATACAGGGTCGGAAATAAAGCATTGCTATGCACGTATTTTTCATCAAAATTACACGTAAATCACAGGGGAGGCCGTACCTAATCAAATAATAAAACTAAGCATCCGACAATCATTTCTGGTAAAGGTTTAGCTTCACACTCTGAAATCGGCAATTTTAATCAATTTTACGGTGGTGATTATGATCTTTAGAAAAAATGTGTACAAAAGGAAGCCAAAATTTTGTACACGTTCGGCCTTGCTATAAAATTTTAAGAAATTTTGAAGTTAAATGAATATTTAACAAAGCTGAAGAATTCTAATAAAAAGCTGATCCCACCTTATAGAAATTACCAAATTTTTATGAGTTTGAACATTTTTGGATTGAGTATAGAGGAGTAAAAATTAAACTACCTGCTTCACTCTACATTTCTTATCTGGTGTTAAAGTCTCCAAACCTACAAACCGTGGCTTTTTGAACGGTGGTATAACATTTCACTTTGATATGGGATGTCGATATGCTCTCACGAAAATGTTTTCTGCAATTTTCGTCGTCCACCCGCAAAACTCAAACGCTTGTTGATTTGATTGCTTGTTGATTTGATTGCTTGTTGATTTGATTGCTTGTTGATGTCAACATCTAATTAAGATTAACACGATTTAATGTTTTGTTTGCAGTTCAATACAAATTGCGATGCTCGGATTATCAAATGGGAGTCGATGTGAGAAAGACGGAGGAGATGAAGTCACTTTATTTGGATCAGTTACAACACTATCCAGGTAAGGGCAATCTGATGGAACAACATGCTTACTTACATCCCAAGTAGCCATTTCCGACTAAAAATTGCCACTAACTTCCTACTTTGTTCAACTTTGGTTGCAACTAACTTGTAAGGTTCTTACCGTTTAGTTGCAAGTTTCATACACCGTTGTGGTATCTCTTCCATTTACTCGCAAAAAAGTCACAATAATTCCCCAGAAAATTTTGTAACATTTTCTGAACTACTTTGCGACGTTCTTGAAACTTTCCCTCCGCTTTTTCATGGAGCAGGGCAGAATAGAGAGTGCCACTCATTTTAGCACCGTAGGTAGGATAAATAATGGCTAAAATAGTTATTTTTCAAAACTGCCCGGAGAAAATGGGAACTTTTTTTATATTTTTATCAATACAATGTGAATGAAATACAAATAATTCACCGCCTTTGGTGATAGAATCACCAAACGATCACCAAAATCAAAAAACGAGAGAGAAAAAAAAGAAAAACCAACTTGCACAGCAGAAGCTAAGAATTTTTATTGGTAAATATTGTTTTGTTTGTTATTTGCTGTATCCTTCTGAAATTATTTTAATTTTATGACTCGTGCGAGGCAAAAATATATTATTTTAGGAGACCCAAATTTTTCACTCATATTTCGTGAGGAACTATAAAACAACGTTGAGACGTTTAATATACGTAAAAGATAAATGTATTTATCAATTTCTTATTGAGTTAACACATAAGGGAATAACATGTAATACATAAAACCTCTTGCTGCAATGCATTCCTTCATTAGAGTTCTATCATGGCAATTACTTTGCTTTAAGAACACATGATTGAACTGACAAAAGAGATATTCGTCAGAAAAGTTAGAGCCTCTTTGGAGTCATTGAAGATCAAAAGGCAGTACTAAAAATATAATTCGATGAGGAAGATGAGAGGATTACAGTTATCAGATGACTCAAAATTTGAATTGGATGTATTTCTGCCAAACACCACTATGTGCATGAAGACATGAGCCCTAAGACCCATGAGAATATGTGTATGGCAGGGCTCACGTCATACTGCGCATAGCTTCGTTTGATAGAAATGCGTCCAATCGGCAGTGTAATGTCGAATGTGAATGAATCCTAGGTCAACCATCGGCACCACAAAATCGTAAATTAATTTTAAAAGGAAGAAAAATTAATGCGTCCCCTTCAGGAACCCCTTAAAGATAACAAAAACCTCTGTTGAAGAGTAAGAAGTTTACCTGCGACCTGTCGTACTTACCGACCTCCTCGGTGTACAGATTAGTATCGCAGAGGTCGTTTCGAATACTTCCATTCTTACATAGTCCAGTTACATAGTGCGGCAGCAAAGAAAGAGAGGAGAGGCGTTTCGAAAACGCAAACATTGGCGTGAGAAAAAGCCGCCGACACATAATTCAATCGACATAATACTAGCCCAACGCCTCAGCTTTTGACGCAACCATTGCCGCTGATTATCCTCGACTCAGCAATGAGCCACCGCACCGCGACGCGCTGATCATCTGATGCTTTGTTCGAAGTATGCGTACTACGTACACCGAGTAATAGAAATTTCCCAGCAACGTCCATTTCCTGATTCCAAAGGTCCTAGATCAGTGACCACTTCTTCGCCTGCAGTCCCATGCTTCTCGACAAAAATGGAAAGCGTGAGCTCACTTGAGTTGTTTCAACACCGCGCCTCTCCGGCAGCGCCGAGGAAAAACACCGTAAGAACATTCCAGAGTTGCCAGAGACCCTCCGATGAAATCATTACTTTTGAGGAGAGTTATGTTTTCAGATAATTTAGATCTGAGGCCTTGTCTCCACGGGCCGTTTCACGGGATTTGTCTCAGGGAAAAATCACACTTACGAGTTCGGGAAAAATATTGAGTTAATCAATATTTTTCCCAGTACCAAATATGGTCTTTGTGCCCCTAGGACCAACTGAGAGAAGAAGAAGAAGTGCAAAGCGAATTATACGATATTTTGTCAGTTACTCCACTGCTCAAGTTTGTTTAGTTAAAATAATGTGTCTAATTGTCAATCGTGTTCAATTATTATTTTAATCCCGATTAAACACTTGATTGTTACTAACTTACCTTTCCTCGCAAACTTGTCGCAGGACTGTATGAGCCCCGACCCGTGGAGACGGTAACTGGGAAAAATCCCAGAAGTTTCATTCCTGCGATTCGAACTTGGGACAAATCCCATGAAAACGTCCCGTGGAGACAAGGCCTGATGGCGAATAATATTCTCTGGCAAATTCGGAGGAAAACATTCACAGATCTCCCTGACAATTTATATTTTATCGAAGAAAATGGGTCAGTTTCGCTGGTCACAGAATCGTGTTTTGATGCTTTATTCTTGTAGATCAACTAAAAATAATAACGACAATTTTCTACGTTGAATATTAACCGAGATATCGCGCCTTGAAAAACTCGATTTATGACGTCATCCACCGCGGTAGTACATATGTACCATGTTATGCACTACCGCTGTGGATGACGTCAAAAACCCGACTTTTCAAAGGACTATATCTGGGTTTATATTCAGCGTAAAAAGTTTCTGTTTGGGCAGAACTTCTTATGTTAAGCTAATCTACAAGAATCAAGCATCAAAACAAAATTCTGTTCCTAGCGCAAGGGGCCCATTTGGCGACGTCTGAATGTTCATACGGCGTTCTTCTTTGGCGCGGTAGTAGTGTTCAACGGTTCTTTTCCTCCAGCCTTATCAATATCATCCCTGATGAAATCTGCCTCAAGTGCTGAGCACAATACTGCCGTCCTAAGTACAAACGCCGTATGAACCTTCAGGCGTTGCCAAATTTCCTTTAATAAAACACGAATTTCTTGGTTCAGGAATATTTTTCTTCCAATTTTCAGATAATTTTGTCCCCAATTTCATCGAAAGTATCTGAAAATTTCAAAGAAAGTTAAACATAATTTTTCTTTAAAAAAATTTAACCGGAGGAAATTTGGCAACTCTCGAATGTTCATACGACGTTTATGTTTAGTACGGCAGGATACGGAAGAGGGCAGCTGACAATGTGGACATTTTAATCGTTCAACATGCCTCTGCAATCCAATCCGCATTTCTCTCTTTCCACCGCAAGCTTGCTCTTGTAAAGGAAAAGCTTGCCAATTTGACTCTTCTACCATATAATCAAGACCTGAGACAACTCTTTTTCCTTTGATTCGCAGAGCCTGCTTGCCAACCGAAGATGAGCGATAATATTGCCGTCTTCACTCTGTCTCTAACAAATGTCTACCAATGTGGAGTAACAAAAGTTTTGAATAAACTTACGGTGAGTTGATACCCGTTCATTATTCATTAATTTTAGAGCTACCATGCCTATGTTCAAAGTGCGAGATCACGTATCTTCGTTGGCGACTTCCTACTATACTTCATTTAGTATTTTGAAAACTAGTCAACGTAATTTCATGAAAACCTCCTTGATTATTCTTCTCTGTAAGCAGAACGTTCTGTATAAATAGTTCTATAAAAAGTTGTATAGTTGGCTTATTTATCTCCAAAAAATTAAATATGAGCAGAGCTTTTTAAATCTTGCAATGGAGAATTTGCATGCAAATTTTTTATTGCTTCATCTGAAAGTGCATAAAGAGCTGATTGCACAGTATTCTTTATAATTTTTTCTGATAAGGGAAATCGCATGAAAATATATTTAAAAATGAAAAAATGCACCGCCTAGTGACGTCATCTGGCGGCGTTTCTTATTTAAACACATGTATTTTAGCAGATTAGATCATTTTGTCATATCTTCTCCAATAATAGTTCAATTCATGAACCAAGGGGTATATCCTCGTGTTCAGTTCACTCAGAATAGTTTCTAATTACACACGGAATTCATTAAATTTCAGACACCCGCAAATTCTCTATTAGGTAACGTAGTCTTGCACTTTGGCCATCAATATGTGCGCAGTGGGGATCATGCAATTAGTTTCCAAGTGAATTAGAACCTATCACATGACCTTCCTACCCGCACAGGTCCCTTCGTAAAAGTTTTTTCCTATGAACCTGTGCGTGAGTGAAATCAGACTCAACAGCGATCACCAGCAGATAATTTTATACCTTTTAGATATAACATAGGCAGTTATAAAAAAAATGTAAAGAAATCGTATGATTTAAGTATAGGATCCTTGTGTAGCACCGTATTGTTGGTGTGCTTTCATTGATTACGATCATTCATAATCACAAAATACCTGATTGTGAGAAGGCAATTGGGGCGTTGGATGCAGTAAGAACATTTCTCGGTTGCGGTGTTTCAGAATCTTCAGTGTTAATTAGTATTTCAGACAGGAAGCTTTGCCAACGTGCGAAACGAAGTATTTCCTTTGCGGTGTTTCAAAATGTCCGCTCATTCTGTATTTTTTCGAAGAAAAACGAGCCAACTAATTAGCTTAAAACTTTTAATGACGTATTTTACTGACGCAGAAGAAAAATTAGGGAAATTTTCAAGCAATCGCTTTGACTTTAGTAGTCCCAAGAAAAGAAAAGATGATAGAAAGTCTGCAACGTTGCAAACGGAGATACGTGCTTATGCACTTTGGTCGTCGATTTAATAAAAGGGTAAAAAGCAGGTGAACGAAGGGCAATTGAGTCAATAAACAAAAAGAAATATAGGGGCCGTCCATGAATCCAATATTAGCCATAGGTGTACCTAGGTCATTTTGCAAAAGTTGCCGAAGTTAGGTTAGGTTAGATTGCCAGAGTTCATTTTTGTGTGAATGTGATACCTAGAATATCTCCCTGGAAATTTTTTCGCATTTGTCATAAAAAAAACATGTCCACTTCCTCTCCCTGGAAGTTAGCTAAGTTCGGCGTATTCCGGACGATAGAACGTAACAGTATTCCAACTTGAAAAATGTCCACTCGCAAATTATATTTTCACCGGAAAACATACAGGATTGCAAAATCTCTACGACACTTCCTAGGATTGCAAGCTCGCGATGTGCATTGTCCGGAAATTGTGTACACCAGGGTAGGTTCAAGCAACACCAAAAAAATACGACTTGAGCGCGCACCGTGGTATACACGCAATGCATGAAGTATCCTGCAGACTTGCAAGGCGCTATACCACCCGTCGCGCGCACCGTGCTCTACGCGCAATGCATGAAGTATCCTGAGGTCTTGTAAGGCGCTACTATGCGTGTCGGGTCCCATGCCGGCCGGCCGCATTGTGTTGGATGTGATTATTCAAACTTGCGGCGTTAGCGGTTTTCAACTTATGATTTTGAATTTGTAAAGTTTGTTGGAAAGTGATCATTTGGACTACATTTTGCTATTCGGAATGGAGAATTTGCAAACAAAAATTGTATTGTTTCGTCTGAGAGTGCTTAATGAGTTGGGTTTGCAGTATTTTTCATAATTTTTTTCTGAAATGGGAAATTGAAGAAAAATGGATTTAAAAGTGAGAAAATGTGCCGCTTTATGACGTCATTTGGCGGCATTTTCCTTTTAAACAAATGTATTTTAGCAGATTAGGTTATTTTGTCATATTTTCTCCAATAATTGTCCAATTTAGAAACCAAGGATATTCTCGTACTCAGTTTTCCTAGTAGTATCATTTTAAAGATAAGAATCACACAATTGAAGACACCTGCAAATTTTCCATTACATTTTTGACACATCCGTAAAAACACTAGTGTGCATAAGGAAACTAACGTTGCACACGTTATTCTTGATCGAAGCTAGAATCCTACCTAATTGCAAGTTTCCAAGTGAAGTAGAACCTATCACATGACCTTCCTACCCGCACAGGTCCCTTCGTAAAAGTTTTTTCCTATGAACCTGTGCGTGAGTGAAATCAGACTCACCAGCGGATAATTGTATGCCTTTTGGATATATCATAGGCAGTTATAAAAAAAATGTGAAGAAATCGTATGATTTAAGTATAGGAGCCTTGTGTAGCACCGTATTGTCGGTGTGCTTTCGGTGATAACGATCATTCATAATCACAAAATACCTGACTGCGAGTAGGCAATTGGGGCGTTGGGTGCAGAAAGGACATTTCTCGGTTGCGGTGTGTCAGAATCTTCAGTGTTAATTAATATTTCAGAGAGGAAGCTTTGTGGTAAACTTTCTGAAATTTTTCGTTTTCAGCATCCTAAAATCATAATGAATATTCAACACAAGTTTCAAAGAATTACTTACACTTGCTTCAATCATAATGAATGAAACGTTAGCAAAGATTGTAAGACTTCGCAGTCAAGAAATGCCCTTTGTGCACCCTGCATTTCATTTCCATCAGTTCTTTTCGCTCCTTTATCAAAATTGCAATTCAGGAGTTTACGACTTCATCATACTGAAGGCATAATTTTGGAGGTAGATGCAGCATGACTGAACACACACTTCTCAGACTTTTCATGCCTTCCTTATTAATGACTGTTTTTCATATTTTTCACGTCATATTCTTTTGTTTATCCTTAATGGAGAATTTGCATGCAAATTTTTATTGCTTCATCTGAAATTGCTTAAAGAGCTGATTCCACGGTTTTTTTTATATACTTTCTTTCTGATATGGGAAAAAGTTTAAAAATACCTTTAAAAGTGAGAAAATGCACCGCCTAGTGACGTCATCCGGCGACATTTCCTATTTAAACATATCGTCGGTGAAACTACCAAACCACGTATCTCGGTTTGCGACGTCGCAGACTTCCTGTCATACTTTATTTTTTAAATGAAAAACTACTTAACATCCAGTCTTGAAAATTTCTGTGATTTTTCCTCTTTGTGCGGAGAAAATTCCGTGAAAATTTCAAGGAATGATATTGATTTGGTCTACTTCAAAAAAATAAAATGTGAGCGTAGATTTTTAAACACCGCAAACGAGATACGTGGTTTGGTAGTTTCACCGTCGATATGTATTTTAACAGGTTAGATCATTATGTCATATCTTCTGCAATAATTGTTCAATTCACGAACCGAAGGTACATCCTCGTGTTCAGTTGACTCAGTAGTTTCCACTTAAACACGAAATTCATCAAATTTCAGACACCTGAAAATTCTCTATTGTTTAAACCATGTGCCTCTACTACTATATTTTAACCGAATTAACTTGCGCAAATCCTATTGCAGGGCGTCGAAAGTTACTACCATAAAATCGTCGTGGAATACAAGAACGCAGACGTTCCGAAAGAGGTGCTCAATGTAAAATGCGTTATTGGTCCACGGCAAAATCATACTCTTCATAGGAGGGATTTACTTCCTGCTGGATTTCAAGAACCGGAGTAAGCATCACTTATTTTCAAATGGGGAAATATTTCCTACCCTTGATTCATTTGTGAAAATCGTCGTTTTATGATGAAGAGTCACAGTATACTCATTCGCAAACTTACTGTGGTGCTTAACGCAGCAAATATCAACAGGAGAAACTCCTGATTTGGACTTCCTGCTCTCCCGAAGAAAATAAATTGACTGTTAGGAATTTAGCGATTTGAACTGTGACGTCGAGAACTGAAAGGTTACAAACAGAGTGATTCAAACCAAAACAGTATGACTCACAGAACCGAAATTAACGACCGCAATGACATGATAAATCATGACGCTTAGCAAACAAATATTCATAGCTTATGAACTCTCTGGTACAATACGAAATCTCTGATAATTTTTTCCATTGCTCATCCCTCATCAAAATGAAATGTTATCAGAGTTCAGAGAGACACGGCTATTAGGTTTGGAGACTTGAACGCGAGGTTAGAAATGTAGAGTGAATCAGGTTGTTAAATTCTTGCTCCTCAATATACGCGAACAAAATGTTTTCTTGCTATCCTAAAATGTTGACCAATTTTCCCTCCCTGCGAACAAAAACAATGAATTGGGAATTTCGTTAAATTTGGCCAAAATGTTGTCAAAACCGAATATGTGTATTTTCAAAAATAACCTAACTAAATAAATACTAAGACCTCTCACTAAGGTGGCTCAAATATAGCAATATCGAAATTTTTTTGGTCTCACCTCCTGAAATTGATTTAGTTGTTTACGTGAGACCCTTTTGCCACTCGGATGATATTGTTCCGTGCCAGTGGATAGATTTTTTTAAAATATGCATTCTTACACTAAATAATGCAATTTTTCCTTTTTTTCCAAGTGTTTTTCAATGTAAACATGTACCTAAAAAATACATTTATACCGCCACTAGTTAATATCAGCTCATTAAGCTGAAACGCAGTCGCGGGTCTTTCTTGATCAAATGGGACAATTTCAAGGGGGAGACGAAAAAAAATTGCGAAAAAAAATTACTCATCTGTGATTGGGCCATCCCAACGTTTATCAGTGGCGTGCCGTGATTTTGGGTGGCATGCAAAATCGATGTATCGATTGATCCACCATTTAAATCTATTGAGAAGGATTATACACATGGTGTTCGCAACGAACACCTTAATAATCGATTCTTCACCACAGCTTCAAATGGGGAAATATGAATAATCGATCATTCACCCTTCACCACTGGCCTTTACCGCAGAAAGTTGATCACTGAATTTAAGTTTTATAATATTTATACTTTTTTCCATAGGGATCTTCAAATAACGACCTCATTGACCCAGCGAGCGCCAGAACCTGTTCTACAAGTGGGTGTGCGCCAGGGTGGTAACATCATCAATGGGGAGCTGAATGTCAACCCAGGGACACCGCTACAAATGGAGATTTACCTCGACAAGAGTAGTGCCCCAATCTACGGATTATTAGTCAGCTACATGCAAGTCACCGACACCAAAACCCAGGAGGAGACCATCATTTTTAATGGGTGAGATATTAGATGTCCATAAGTGCTTGTTTCTTCATAAAACGACGCATAAAAAAATTATACCCGAACAAAGAGAAAACAAGAGCCGAAATTTGAATGGGTCAGTTGCGCTGGTCTTAGAATGAAGAATTTGCATGCACATTTTTTATTGTTTCATCTGAAAGTGCTTAAAGAGCTGATTTCACAGTATTTTTTATACTTTTTTTCTGATATGGGAAATTGTATAAAAATAAATTTAAAAGTGAGAAAATGCACCGCCTAGTGACGTCATCTGGCGGTATTTCCCATTTAAACACATGCACTTTAGCAGATTAGATCATTTTGTCATATCTTCTCTAATAATTGTTCAATTCATGAACCAAGGGTTTCCTAGTGTTCAGTTCACTCGGTAGTTTCCACTTTAACACGAAATCCATCAAATTTCTGACACCTGCAAATTCTCTATTGTGTTTTGATGCTTGATTTTTTTCAGATCAGCTGAAAATAATAAGACCTGTCCAAATAGCAACCTTCTACGTTGATTATTAACCGAGATATCGCGCTTTGACAAATTCGGTTTATGACGTCATCCATCGCGATAGTGACACCCTTGGTCTCTTCCACTTTGCTTTCATCAGTCAGGGAAACATATACATTTGCTCTGCTTACTCAACGTGTAATTCGGATGAAACCAAGGTGGGAGAGACCAAGGGTGTCACTACCGCGGTGGATGACGTCATACACCGAATTCTTCAAAGCGCGATGTCTCGGTTAATATCCAACGTAAAAAGTTACTGTTTGGGCGGATCTTAATGTTTTCAGCTGATCGAGTATCAAAACACGATTCTGTGATCAACGCATTTCATCCATTGCGGGCCGAGTGGCACTTCCTTCTTTTACGAGTCATCTCTGATTGGCTGATCCGCCTGGTGCCCAGTTTCAGGGCCCTTATGGAATTTGACACGGGGTCCGCTTTTCATCGAGAATATCTCGAAAACATGGAAAAAGTTATACGCCGGAGATTTCAGAGATTAATTTAATTTTCCAGATTTTTCTGAAGATTGATGGGTATTACAGGACACTTTTTTCTCTATCACACCGAACAGTTTGACCTGAAATTTAGTTTTTTTCAACTTGAAATATGACGCCAAGTGTCATGAAAAAACAAAATTTCAGGTCGCACGGTTCGATGTGTTTGAGAAAAGTGTCATGTAACACCCATCAACTCTAAAAAGATCTGGAAAATTAAATTTTGAAATCCCCGGCGTATTAATTTTTCCATGTTTTCGAGATATTATGTTTATAAGAAACACAAAATAGGGACAGGCTCAAGGCTAAAAACAAGTTTAAAATATATTACGGAACGTTTCGGGGCTGAACAGCTCCCATCATCAGCCGAATTTAAAAAAAAAAAGATCTCATCAGATACTATGTTATATATACCATCGAACCAAAAGCGATGCCCCTGAGGAAAATATTTTATGAACTGTCAAATGGGTCCGCTGACCCTAATCGGCCAGTATTACCAACCTTCCTGTTATTTGATTATGTGTATTTATTTCATTTTGACGTATGTTTTTGCAGGTGTTCGGTTGACCCGTACTTGTTCGAAAACTTCAATACCGTAGATGGTGATTTTCTCACCGCAAAATTTAGAGCTTTTAAATTTCCGGAGTCAACTTATGTCCAATTCAAGGGAACTGTAAATGTTTGTTTGGACAAATGTAATGGGGTAAGTTTTAATTCATTATTTATTTCATCGATTCCTTTTTTTTAGTTTGTAGGCAAGGCCGAAGAAGCGTTTATTTTTAGAAGTGAATGTGACTCTGATAAGTCGCATGTCCTTCCCATTCGATTCAAAAATTCGCTGGACTAGAGGCGCTTCCCAAAATTACTTTTCAAATGAAGATGCTGGGGCTGAAAACATTGTCATTATTTTTGCGATCGGGTTGGACCTTATATATAAACCTCAATTTTGATCTACCTGTAAAGTATACATATTTATTTGTTTGGTACGTGTTCGACAGGTTGACTGCAGTAATGGTCAAATTGGTTACGGCAGGCGAAGACGAGCCGTGAGCGGCATTCCACCTGATCCAAATAAAATTTTTGAAGTGACGATGACAACTTTCATTAAAGTCGATTATAAAACTGATAGCCTCCTGGAAAAAGGTGAGTTGGAAAGTAGCAAAACGAAAATAAAAACTGTTCTTACCTGAAAAATTCGTTTTTGGAGTTATGTTAATTCTCACTTCCAAATTCTTTCCCTTTCCTCTGAAATTATCATTTTTCTCCCCCCCCCCTCCACGTCAAGATACTGCATTAGCCTACTACTAGCCATGTAAGACCATGAAATGCAGGTGACGATTAACAACACATGAAAAACTTGTGTCAGCCAAGACCGTTCGATTACAAAAACTTCATGGGGAGACCAACATGAGAGGCATCAGTGGGAATTTGTTTTCGAGTGACACGAGTGGATGAACGATTCATGATGTCCAATCGCATGATATTCCACTATTTAAAAGCACATAACAGGATTAATTACGGCCAATCTTACTCCACATGAGCCAAAATATGTACTTCACATAGCGGCCTGTAGGAAAATGTCACTCTCTGAGTCTTTCATGTACCTACCTAAGGGTATCTTGAGAGTATTAATAAAGCTGTGATCGCTATTACACGTTTGAAAACATGCTATTCGGATTATAAAGTTGCACCTAGCACCCTTATTTTTTCTAAGGATTTTTTTTTTATTAAATTCACTGGAAATTATTCCCCTGCCTGCACTTTGTTTTACAAATTAAACTTTTCGGACAAGAATATTGATTTTTCCGTTTCTTATTTTTTCTTTTTTGTAAAGAAGCTACGTAAATTTTCGAACACCGAAAAAAATTTAAAATATGAAAATGACGACTTTTGACACTAAAAACAGGTCTTTTCCCATGTCGTAGAAATAATTGCAGTCATAAAAAGAGTAAAACATATCAATAGGGCACACTTCATAGGGTGCACTTACACATAATGCAGCCACATCCTCTAGTTTTGCACAGCTCCTTATTCTTTTTAAATCGGTGTAGGATCTCTATATGGTTTCTTTTTCTTCTTTTCAACATCGGGCCAGAAGCAAGCGGTACGGTTTTTCTTTTTTTTTTGGNTTGTATGGAAGTCCATGAAGGTATAAAAGACAGAAAGAAAGAGAGGAAAAAAGCGCTAGGTACGTACACGTACACACCAATGGACTGCAGCTTCTCGAAGAGGTGACCAAAAGAAAAATTCGAAATTGCGTGGCGCAAGTACGCTGCATATAAATGATCATTTAATATGATGGTTTTAAAATACGTACATTATTCCTATATACATACATGAGAGCCGCTTTCACAGCGCTCTGCGACGCCTAGCCGCCACAGTCCCCTATCGTACCATAGCCCTTCAAGCAGTTACATTATACATTTGAATCAGTAAGAACGGAAACACACCAACTCGAAAAAATGTAAATAATCAAGACACACACAAAACTGCTCAGTAGTTGAAGAAGTTAGTACAAGAACAAGATTTTTGGTGCTGAAAGACAAGTACTTTAGGACTCTTTAAAGGTCCAAGTTGGAACGGATGCGTTAACTTTAATGGCCTTAATGAACCTGGCTTAATGGCCTTAGTCAGTTTTCAAACTGACTCTCTGTAATGACAATTGGGCATTTTTGAGTTACCGAGTTGGTGTGTTTTCGTTCTCACTGGTTCATTTTCACAATCAATAAAATACCCATAACATGGATTTACTTATTGAGGTGCGTATATATACCATTAGAAAAAGCAGAAAGGAAAAAAAGAAAAAATTACACCCTGTATAATACCTGCTACCTAGTTTAGGTATCCGGATGGGATCTATTCGATACCATAGAGTACATAGAGTCGTAATGTAAATGGGAGAGCTGGCGCCATGTACTGCTCGACGAATTCCGAGCCCGATGTGCGCCGAGTTCGGGTCGCTTTTTCGATACATTTTCGATCCAAAATGGCGGTGTGGAATACGTGGTAATTCCTATCTCCTTTGTTGTTGTTGTTGTTGTTGTCATCGGATGGCCGGGTACCCGTGTATCGGAAACAATCGATTATGTATCGAAAAAGTGACCCGGCGTCACACAGGAGTCTCGGAATTCGGGACATGGAAAATGCTTAAAAGTGGCGCCAGCTC